AGGTTTATATCATCATCGACTCCAAGACGCTGTAACAAGCGAATGATAAACTGTTCGCTAAACCCTGGATATTGATTTTCCACCTACAAGGTCATTGGTTCGTAGTTTTATGAACCAGTAAAAATGGTTTTCATGTCAATTCTACTACCTGTACAAATGCTGCACTTAAAGCATTAGTCAGAGTTGAATTGCACTTAGATAACTTTAAAATTAGGTAAGATGAAGGCACCAAACCTTGAAAAATGTCGGGTAATAGATGCAAGGTAAAGTAAGATTGTACAGACAATCAGAAAACTCATAATTTCGAGGCATAGTATCACATCCAGTATTTCGATTTTAGAAGGAACTATGTACACGTTATCTGTATCGCTGCATATGGAAAATATTAGGCTACTTAGGTGTCTGTAGTGGACAACTGTGCACTATGTGTACACTTTCGTCCGCTTTATCTCTCCTTTGTTCTTTATTTGTTGCTTGAGAATCGCTGAAATAATGTCTGCATGAAACGGTACGAAATAGGGATCAGCTATGAATAAGGAACATAAAACAGGACAGTTTCTGAGACAAAAACAAGCGAGAATTACCAGTAATGCACCGAGATAAACGTAAACTAGAATGAAAACTGGAACGAACTAAGGAACCACATGGACTCAAGGCCATGAACAAGGTCAGGCAGATAGTATAGAACAACAATGGAATATAAACGCATATCCTCCATGTATCATATTGGAGTTATTCTGGACAAATCTTAGTGTAGAAACTTTCATACGTTTAGACTAGTTTTAATGGTGTGAAGAGTTAAAATTTTTCATAAAATTATTCTTGTTAAAGCTTCCTTTCTTAAATCTCTCCGCCATATATATCATCACTGACCGTGAAATGCCTAGCTTATACCCATTTTACAATTGTCAGTGAAGCACAACCCTCCTGTCTGATTTTCACTTTAATATGCAGTAGTTCTTAACCTTCGTTTCTAGTAGTGTTTCTACCTTTTATCTAATCGTCAATGAAACTACTGTCATGAAAAACTGTGGTCTGGTATCAGATTATAAGTCGGTAGCTGGTATCAATCTGACATTTACACAATGAGCTTATAACCTGTCTAGTTCAATTTGTGATAACTAATTGTAATAACAATGACCAATTTTTCGAATTTTGTCTAGTAAGTGATAAATAACTTCGTGCGACGAAATTAACACTTTTTTCGGTTATATTCTGTACCTACAGTTAATCTGCTAAATATATATATATAAGCAGAATTCGAAACTTATGAACAGCAAACTGTCAACAACGTTGACTAACTTACTACCTTAATGTGGTGTTTGAATGAACTAATGATTGCTTCGTACTTGTTGAATGCCTGATTTCGAATTCTAAATACAATACATTCCTTGATGCTTGTGTAGTACTTCTTGATTCAATTGCGTGATTTCTGGGATTATTAGTTCATACTATAATTCAATTACCGCTAATTATCATATTTAAGTCAATGACAGAGCTGACATCGGCGTCAATTGATAATGCAACTGTCGTACCACTTTAGTGTCCTTACTCTTGCGGTAAACTGAACATGACTTATCTGAGTAACTTGTCAGCGCAATGTGTTTTAACACTGCTTGATAAAACTTTCACGTTGTATAATTCATTTATCTCCGTCATTCTTAATTGCTTAACATTAAACCAAATTGTAAGCCATACATTTTAGCACCAACGAATCCAACATCCCCAGATTTATTATTACTCGCTATTTCTAGATCAGTTGCAGAGTCCTCCCTGCCATTTGTCTTAAAACTCATCAATTCCCGGAGGATTCTTATCTATCTTTTGCAACTTCTTGTGCGCGATTACATCCAATATGTTTAGTACCGATTCAAAAGGCCGTTGAACCGGGTGACGATGTGTTGTAGTTAAATGTTACCGGGCCCTAGCCAAATCATCAAACAGTCGAGTCACTGGACGTCGAACGCTTCACCGATCCTCATCAAAATCAAAGACAACCGACGGGCATCAAATAGTCGTACATCATGGGCTGGTTTATAAGGTGGTGCTTGAATTCGGTTCCTTGTTGGACACCTCACAAAAGTAGATATTGTGAAGATTGTAACAGCTATATTTTGCCTGTTTACGGTTATGCCTCATGTAATAACAAACACATTTAATGCTATGAACTCCATTACCAGTGAATAAGTTGCAGGAGTCTTACGAAAGGCAACTTCAATGCAACTATTAGAGACTGGCCTACCGTAGAGATAAAGTTATCAGAAGCATTGTTTAGCTATAAGTTGCTGGAAACAACAGGCGCTTAGCTATAGACCAACACATCAGAGATCCCACTGTTTTAATTTTGACCTCATGCTCACTTACGTGAATTATTTTAGTCTTACAATGTACCTTTCACACGCAGTATGAGATATTTATGAATTCGTCTTGTAAAGGCACATACGCACTGTAGTCTGAGAAACAGAACAAGAAGCCACGCCTAGATTACTACTTACATTTTGGAAGGAAGTGCATCACGAGTGATACAGAAAGATCAGAACAAAGCAGAAACCAATCCAGGTTGTTTTGAGATGGTCTTTACTCATGAGTTTGCTCTCGATAAATGACTGGGCGTGAAAGTAGTGTCCGAAAATCGCCTACACATTGTGGACTTGTCTCTCATAAACCTCAACGTAATACATTGACATATCTACATTTCGTTACAAACGCCTATCCTCAAGTTTTATCTCCATACCTTGTAAATGTATTCTAGAAGGTGCTTTTTGAAGCCAATTCTGACATAATTCTCAAGAGGTAAGGTCAGATGAATATTATGTGGTATACATTTTTAATAACATTATTTATTGTACGGCTTACGATTCGTAATTGACATGAGATTATCACTTAGTCTTTTTATCGCCATTTATTTTTAATTATATGCTCTTTTACCGCTTTCACTACAATTTCACAGTAGGAGTAATCGTTTTCAAGTAAACATAATACAAAACATTAAAAACTTTAAGTGACGTCCATAAAAACATCTCATGACTTCTTTGAAAGTTATGTGCAGTGAACAAATTATTTGTTAGACTGAAGAAGACAATGGATGAGTGTTTTCTATGACATTCGGCGTTTGAAGCTTCCACTAAATTTTTTCATTGAGTGGATGTGTTAAGGGAGGTGGTTATTTAGAGGATGGATGATCTCAGATTTATGAGAATCTGGATATAGGAATACCCAAGGTCCAGTGTTAATTATTTCGCGACCATGATAACCAAATTATTTGTCGCTTCTGCAGATCTGGTAAATGGTTTACGTTTCAAGTGCACCTTGGACCTTTAACATTACCACCAAACTTAGTTGAGGGTTTCCAATAAAATTTGGTGACAGCCGGCTATTTACAAAGACTGCCTTGTTAATTTAGTGAGATATATGCCAGTCAAACATGTTCAAGCTCAATATAATATAGACTAACAAAAACTGTTCAAATGATATTTGAGATGGAAATCTTAGGTCAAATGGCCACAAAATTTTCTTTAAAACGTACAATTAATGGACTAAAAAGGCATTTTCACCCAAACAAAACACCTCTTTACTACTTCCTGTTTAGCCTACCAAACCTCTTAGCACTTCTGTATAAATGTAATAATGATAGGCTCTCAGTCTTAATACGAAATAAACGCCCCCACACTTTCCCCAAGACATTAATGGATATAATGACGACACGTACTGACCCAAAAAGACAACAAAACAGAAAAGTTTGGAGTAGGTAGTTAATTATTGAAACATATATTTAAGTAAAATATGGATCGGATGCTTTAAAATATCCATTTTGGATCGCGCAACAAACCGATTGTTTCAGAGAAGTGGTGCAATCAAATGGTAATCACGAACTTGGCGTTAGACAGAACGAGATTTAAAACAATAGGGAACATCATGCATATAGGAAACGAAACTGTAAAGTATAAACCACAGATTGTCTCAGAATAATAAGAAACGCGATGATAGTAGGAATGGACAACATATTTGATCGTATCCAGAGGTAGACATATAAGGGATGATCAATTTGTTATTAATAGGAATAGGAACGCTTTACATCGAGTCGTCGATGATGTCGTTGTGATGATGAGACAGCGGGTTTAGTTTTAAGGTGGTGAGAAATCTTGAAATGAATGGTTTTGTAAAGACTCGTCTCTGATAATGAAAATTTTAGTTTCAACTAGCTCGGATGTTTGCAAGAATGTATAAGGGAACTCTATAGACATTGGTGTGCCTTTGGACTAGTGTGCAATTTCAGGTACGGTACCATGATTTTAAAACCGTGCTGATAATAATCACTTTGTTCAATAACGTGCCACCCATTAAAATAGAGAGTTAAATGCTGAGGTAATAAAATATTTAACATAAATTCATCTCGAACTGGTTAAGCTCATTTTTAACACAGTTTGTTACCATATTTCAGTCATCTGTAAGTCTCATTGATCAGGTGTTTTTACATATTGCTTTCTGAACGGGTGTTATTTGACAAGGTTATTGAGAGTAGTAGATTGAGTGAGACGAGTATAAAACAAGAGGGAATGCGTAACTATAAATTTAGTTATATTTGTCATTTAAGGTAGTTAAAATTATCGAAATTTTAATTTGTTCATGTATTCTAATGACTACTCGGTTAATGTCAAGTACTGTTAAGTTCAGAGAATTCAGAACAGATTGCTGCCCAGAAAATTAGACAACAACAAATTCGGTGTATTTTTAGTACTTGTAACTTCACTGATAACGCATAAAGCAACTTCATCTGTGTTTCCGCATTCTTCCTTGAAACAACTCATATCACCTAAATATATAAGTAACTTCACAGTTGGGGGCAAAATGAGGTTAGTGACCAGCAGACATTAATAGTGACAAAAATATTTTCAGTTTACCAACGATTGTAGGGCATAAACATTTTTAACGATCAGGCTTTTTATAGTTGGCGGTGAGGCAATCATCCAGTAATATGCAGTTAACTATTTCATGCTTCACTAGCGTAACGCGGGACACTCGCAGTGAGCGCAACTTCAATGACATTAGTTGCTTTAGTGTCGAATTCTGAGTCATAGACAACGTCTTGTTCTGATGGATGTTGATTTGTACGCGTACTTTGGCCTCAGAGATGATTGTACTGCAAAGGACATTCAGAGAGCGTATAAGAAGAAGGCAAGAGAGGCACATCCTGATAAAAATCAAGACAATCCGTTGGCAAGTATGTAATTATACCTAATAATCAGTTCCTTAGAGGAATCATTTCAGCAACTGGCTATTTATTTTGAAATTTTGCACGATCCCACTAAAAGGGTATGTTACTGTGATCGTATTCAAACTACATTATTTTAATCACTTATATCATTTCAGTTTTGAGCTGTTTCAGGAATTCAACCTAATAATCCTGGATACCATTTTGAAATAAACAATCATTATTATTTTTGTCCAAACATATTTGATGATATCATGAACACATCTTGTTCCTTGCTAATATATTGTTGATAAACTAGGTAGAGGGGTTGTCACAACTAGGTCGTTCGAATTATTAAATTAAGAATTCTGTTATCTTTTCTGCAAAATAATATCCTTCGGGTTTTTAAACGTTATCATGAACTGGGGTTTATCTCAATATTCACTTTTTGTATAACTTCTAGAATTCTGAGGTGCACTTATCAGATATTAAAATTTAGGTGTGTAAGATTCACGGTAATCGTAATTTGTATACCCGAAAGATAAAGAGGATGAAGTCTTATCCCTTAAAACCAAATGCCGAATGTATAACCAGTTGTGACTAAGTGCATACTGAACGGGAAGTTTAGTCCTAACGTGGTTTGCATTTCTCAAACTTTTGCTGTGTTCTTACGCAACAAAAGTACCATTTCTGATCTAAACAATCTATTCTGAGCTATAAGTTCGGTAGATTACTTTTTTTTGAGTTTCACCCAATTTAATAGTTAACTGCGGTTTTGCCTCAGCTTATTATTCGGTTTATTTTCAGTTTTTCACGTGAAGGCTATTTCATTTTATCTCACTCGTTTTGATACATTTTTCCCGTTTTAGTGTGGTTTTCAGTGTATTTTTAACGGTCTTAAGCTTCGATACTATCTCTAACATAGTTTGCGTCAATACAGCCATGAAAAATTCATGTAAAAGACCTGGATGCCGTTTCGCTGTTACATCTGGCATTCAGTGTGACAACTGCAAAGGTTGGTTTCACGAAACGTGCACAGATCTTACGGCAACTGCTTACAAGAGACTCAGCAAACCGGACCCTAAGTGGGTGTGTGTTACGTGCAACACGGACGCTGTAGTACTGCTGAGCAACATCATTGTTTTACTGACAGGTCTGCGGAATAAATTGTCAGTAAACTTGGAAACAGATAGCCATAAAATAGGTAGGCAAACGAGGGCGCGTAACGAAAATAAGAACAGGGATGTTGACAAGTCAACCATCGATGGAACGCGCATTAGCAGTAATGATGACATGTTGAAACTCAGCACCACCATTACGTCGACAATAATTGATTCCCTCACTAAAATTGGATCTCCCAGTTCAGGGTCCTTAAACGCAACAGTGGTTCCTAAAAACTCTGTAGGTGACTGCACCCACGCCAACAAAGCTAATAAGGACCAGGTGTCACCGTCCAAGGTTGACATCCCAAGTGTTGTACGGACATCAACTGGTGCTTTGATCGCTCAGTCTACCCCCAAAAATGTCCGCCCGGTTATTAAAAAGCTTACGACTCAAAAACCTGCTTCGACCTCCAAACAACAACGTACTGAACCTGAACGCACCGGAAAACCTGGGAAAACAATAACGGTCCGTGATGACTCTCTCATAATCATGAACTTTATAGACAACCCTGACCTTCCTCTCAGTTTGCAGGACAAAAACGACAGGATGCTCTGGGGTGAACTGAACAAAAAGCTTGAATTGCTGAAAAATTCCCATTATATTAAAACACAATTATATGAACGAAGAATATTCTTTTCAATAATTTCTCATCAGGTTCTACAATTATAAATCCAAATTAATAATCCATCGAATTGGCCAGATTTAAGGCAGAGTACATCATTTGGAAATTGTAATATGCGAATTAAGAATTGTTATTTGTTATATAAAATCAAATCAGATCGTTCATGTTGGGGCTGACTAATATGAAGTGTTAACTTGAATCAGTTTATAAGTGAAATGAAATTGTGCGATAAATAACCAGAATAAATATAGTCAACATGTTGACTAAGCTTGAACTTTCTAGATTGGAACCTTTGACGGTCACACGGCTCACTCGGGGAAAGGAATCTAAACATCAAAATCACCCGAGACTACTCCGTGTAACACTCAAGAACGCTACCGAAGTACAGGATGTCCTGCTAGCTAGTCATCTACTGAAATCCGATAGGAACGTCAGAATACTGTCCGACATACCGTATTCTGAACGTCCCTGAAGGTTCTCGAGAGAAGTTTTTCCGCGGAAGAAATATCATCGTGCAAGGTGTACCGGAAAACATGGACCCTACTCAAGCAAACTCTGACATTCGGGAATGGAAATTCATCAAACAGTCCTTGAGGCTTAAAAACATACTGTCTCAGCATGTGATGAGACTAGCCAAGCAGGACGGGGATAACTTTTCCATCCTCCCGTATGGCGGCTGCAACTCTGGAAGCATTTCGTGTCAACAGACGTCGGTTGCCAACTGGGATCCATATGCACCGGATAGGCCATACGACGCCAGGATCAAGCACAAAGGCAAGCTGGAGCTGACCATTCAACTTGTGGACTGTCTTCAAGACAAAAAAACGTGTAAAGGACAGGGCCTACCAATTTGTTTATTTTCATTGTTTACCAAACCGGAAAGTATGAAAACTCGGTATTAACAGTCAAATTTCTGTGTTAATCTCAGTCAGAACGTTTGGTCGTGCTAGCTATATTACTCGGCTGCTCAGACATCATTTTATGAGGTATTATTGAGTATGAAGCTTAATTACCAGGATTTAGGTACTAGTTTAACGCGTCACTTGAACAAAAAAGAACATTTGGATATATGCTTGTATATTGGTTGTGTCTGGAGTTTGGAACATTTAGCGTGTAGTCAAACTTAGGGGACTGCACCCGAATCATCACTCTCTATTATTCATGGCAGTAAACTCTAGTGGACCACAAAAAATGAGTAGTATGCTGACTACAAGCTCTCCTATTTCATGAGATTAGTTCGTCTTTTAACTTAGCTTGTAAAAGCCTGCATATCAATTGTAAATCCAGCTTTTATCTTATCGGTAATGTTCTGGACAACACATTGCACTTCTTTGGGTAAGTATTCCTCGTAAAACAACAAGTTATATAGTATATATCATGACTAGTTGTAAAAACTTGTTAAAAATGATGGTGCAGAAATTATTTTATTTATTTATTTATTTTAACACATAAGTACAGGTACTGGGCGGCACCAAATACATATGCCCCACACAAATCTCAATTGATTTATGTGAGGGCTGTGATACTGACCGGGTGCCCAAACCGAAGCGGGTGGTTTTCTTAGGGGGCCACACCCCGAGCCTTTGACCTGAACGTCTGACCCACAAGGCAGTGGAGCATCGTAAGGAGATGCAGTCCCATGGTAGCCGGTGACCAACGATTGGTTCATACGCCATTTGTTCCCGCAGGATACTGGAGCCCATGTGCACCATTGGTTTGGGGTCCGGTTAAAGCGCCAGACATTCGCTTTTCGTCCTCTCATTTTTGTAAACAACACCCCCGCCACGAGAAGGCAGTGAGTAGGACTTCCCTGCAGAGGCTATATACGCATGGCCATGTGAGAGCATTTCGAGAGGGAGAGCGGACTCTCCCCACTCTCGGCCGTACCAGGGCATTTGGGGGCAAACAGAAAGACTTGGTGCAGAAATCATTATATCGATATGGTTTTCGGCTTTAAAATTCAAAATAATGACTTACGTACTGTATTTCATTCAGAATCAAACTTAACGCCATATTTGTTTAAAGGATTTATGCACCTTATCAATTTGTTTGCTTTGGTATGTAAATTCAATACGTCTCTCACGTTTCTGTTGACGGTAATCATTTCTGTTAATTCATAAGGCTTTTTAAAAAGGTATTTCTATGTTTAATGTGATTTAGAAAGAATATGATCAGAAATGGAAAGCCAAAAGAGATGCTATTAAAAGAATGGAATCTATGGACTCGTCACGAAGAAAGCTTAAAGAAGGTAAGTTATGAAGTCTTGTCCTCTTATTTTTATTGATATATTCATCATGATGCGTGCCGCCTATCTAAATTTTTCTGAGTAGACTTATCTTGAAAAGTGTATATGAAGTACTTACTAAAATGTTACTTTGCTAGTCATACAGCATGACAAATATTTCAAAGCATATATAAAGCAGTTGCGGCGAGACTATAACTTATGGACGAACCAATGAGATTTAGGATAACTGGTCTTGGGTTTTGACTCGAAATTCATTCATCCATTTGGCTAAATAACCTTTTAGCATTTTAGCTGATATCAGTTCCTGATGGAAACTCTAAATCTAATTTCTAACCCTAGCCATCAACTGTAAATCATAATCCTTATTCTCCCCATATCTTTCTTTTTACGAATTAATTCTCTCTGCCTGTACTATGTCCTTATATGCAATCTTTCTTTTATATATTACCACCACTGATTTAACTACTTCTATGAATCTGGTGTTCATCTTGTACTAATGAGGTATGGCAACTTGGACCAATGCACATATGTGCCTGATCCTACGTTATAGCTGACTGACTGACTGATAAACCTCATGTAGTTCTAGTAAGTAGGTGGACACTCAATGTCACTTAAGTGTTGCTCAGAGGTTATCCCTAAATTATAGTCTCACTGCATTTGCTTTTTTATTTAAATGTATAAACAACTGTCCTCATATAAGTCAGTTAGTAAAAAACTATGAAAATTCTTTAACCTTAATGGGTTTATTTGCAATTGCCCAATGTTTCGTTGTTTACTCTTCTAATTAGTTGGTGGAAGATTTTCAAATTTTCTGTCAGTACGAATTAGTTTTCGTCACTTTTTAGCAATGAATGGCCTTTAGGACTGGTATATCAGTGGGTGAATCGAAACATTCGTTAGTAATTTCCTTACAGTAAGACGCGTATATTATTTCAGGCTACTCATTTCGAGTTCCCATCATTTAGTACACTTGTGTATGACCTCGTTGATATCAAATAATAAGAAGGAACGTTCAATCTGGTCCATTAGATGTTCCGCATGTATTTCTTGGGTTAGCTGTGGAGTGCGTTTGGTTCATGAAGTGACCAAACTGTGTCATGACAACTATCAGTTTTCAGTTAGTTGTTAACTGACTCAGCTTTGTGTTAGGATGTGGAATTCTACGTGTTCACTAACTTTGTGTCAATTTTACCAACAGACGTTTGTTCCTGTTGGTTCTTCTATTCCCAAGTTAACATCTAATAAATAAATAAATCAATATAGAGAAAGTGATATCTATAGATTTTGTTACACAAAGCAGTTTTGATATATTGATTCAGTTATTTTTATATGCTGTGCTGAATACTAAAGTTTGTTATTTTATACCTTACATAACTGTATTATAAAGTTGCTATATTTTAACGTAATTCTTATGTATATAAAATTTCCACATGTATTGTAAACTAAGAGCTAGAAGCGAGAGAAGCGGCTGCCATGGCTTTGCGAAAGAGGCAGTTTGAAACTGTAGCTAAACAGCAAGCAGCCGACCAGATTCGCAGGGATTGGGAACGCCATAATGAAGAAATGAAGTGGCAAGCTGAAAGGAAACGAAAATCTGCAAGTGAGGAAACTGACAATGCGAAGTTAAAATGTACTAAATCTGGTCAGGCTGTGGTGAGAGTAAGTTTTAACCCATTTCTTGAACGTAATCGATACATTTAATGCTAATATTAAGCTATTAGACTTCGTCTTTATCCCCATGAACCTTCATTATTTTAGGGTAATCTTCTTTCTGCTCCGTTTCGTTGATAGTCAAACCTTGCACTTATACTTTAAAATCATGAATATGTGTACAACTACTCATCTCATGATAAAATAAGAGTCATTAAGAATGATTTTTTGAAGAGCTTGCAGCATGAATAGAACAGTTACACGTTGTGGAGTAGATATCTTAGTAATACCCTGATTAAACTGACATCAGAAACTGATGATCAGTTCTACTTAAAACCAAACTGAACCTAATAATCTAATAGTAGGAATTAAGTGGTGTCGATGATTATTTATTGCCAAAGGACATTCATGATCATTGTTAATTATAGTAGTTATGAAATCAAAACTTAAAAACATGTTTCGGCATTGAAATTTGTTACATTCTCAGAAATGTTCACACTTATGGATGTTAGTAAAAGTGAGTTATTTGTACCCTCAACATAGTATTAAAAGAAATGGAAAACCATTATTATATCAACCGATTCTGTAAAATAATGGAGAATACCTTCATTAGAAGCCTTCCTCAAGTGATCAAACGAAATACACATCCGAAAAATGTCAGTCAGTCAGTAACAACATGGAACTTCGTACTTACGTACATCAGTTCGAGTTGCCATACCACATTAGCACAGAGATTCAGTTATCGATTCAAATCCCGTAGTGGTAGAGGTAGTGAAAGTATAAGTAGTGATAGGGAACACTAGGATTTGATGATGTTATTTAAGGAGTATAGTCCAGTGGAATAGATTCGGAAAGAAAATAAAGGACATGAAAAATTCGGAAGATTAGAGTTTGAGAGTGGATGCACC